AAAAAAAAAAAAAAAAAAAAAAAAAAACTCATCGCTGTTCGAGGGTAAAGAACAAGATATCCATAACCAAAGAAGTGACCTACATATACAACCATGTTCGTCCCCTGAAACAAAAGAAGAAACGAAGGTGAAAATTGAAGTGGAAAGAGAAGCAGACCTGCAGATTGATAGAGAAAAATGAGGAGATTGAAGAAAGTGCGCTAGGGTTTGCCAAACTCCTCGGATCTGATCCGTGGAGTTGGAGGCGAGTGTTGGGCAACGCGCAGCGAGCGAAAAAGAGATATTTTACATAAAACTGTTAGGTTTTTGTAGAGCCTTCGACTCAGAATAATAATTAACCACAATTCCAAAACTGTCCTCGGTTTCTGATACCTATAAAATATTTTATTAAATTATTTAATTTTAGATAATTAATTATAATTAACTTTTATTATTATTATTATTATGTTAGATTATTAAAATAATTTTAACCCATCAAAATGTACTAAATTTTAAAATTTTGAGTTTATTTAGTAATAAATATTAATAATTATTCTTAAATAAATGAATTAATATAAATAAACTTTTAATTGTAAATATTTAGTACAAATCAGATTAAATGAAGTAATTATATTATAAAATTATATAATTAAAAAAAAAAGTTTAAGATTATGACATCGAGATTACTACCCTCAAACGTGGTGACAAACACCTTATGCAAAAAGATAGCTCATTCTGCAGTGATCACAGACAGGTTGAGTTACAAGTAGAGATGGAAAGAACTGACATTGAGGTGATGGTACGGGGCACCACAAGAAGGCTCGTCTAGCTCAGTGTCCAACCAAACCTAAGATAGTGCATTATTCGCACACATAAAAACGACCCCACAAGGCAAGAATTCGCCAATAGGACAAAGAGGAAAGGATAGGGGGATTCTCCATGTTGTTTGACGACAGCTTATTGTACCCTAATGACGACAAGATTAAAAGAGATATTTTGACGGAGTTACACGGATCTTCTTACACAATACAGTATCAAGATCTCAAGACGTGTTATTGGTGCCTAGAAATGAAGTGTGATATAGCAGACTATTTTAGCAAATATCTGAGCTACCAACAACCCTTCAACGTACTCCAGTATTTAGGTAATTACAGGTTGACAAAATCTGCACACTTCATCCCTAACAAGGTCACCTATACAGTTAATAGACGAGCTAGGGTACACTTCCCGCTTTTGGATTAGTTTACAAAGAGCACTGGGAAAAAAATTGAGGTTCAATACAACTTTCCACCCCTAGACTGACGAACAAATAAAAAAAATTTAATCAGATACGGGAAGGCTTGTATAATAGATGTTGCAGGTAGTCAATATCCCCGTGACTCAACAAAGGATTCTATTTTTCTTTTCCTATATCTAATATATAAATATTGATTTGAATCTTTTAAATTAATATATTTTTTCTCTATCTATATTTAATACATCTAATATATTAAATATTAATTTAAACCCTCCAAAATTTTCTTTCAATTTACTCGATAGACCTTATGACCTATAAGCTCCAATTATATAAAATTAATTAATTAAACTTTTCATTCATTAACTATAAATCATTCTACTATAGACTTCGAGATGCGCTCTTCTTCTTGAATTATTGGATGACGACAACATCACAATTAGAGACCACGACACATGCATAGGCTAGTAACACTTTAAATTCTTAGACTTAGGTTGGTAAGACCATGACAGTATTTTAATGATGATGTTATTTAAGATGAACTTATAATTTAACGATGATGTTGGAAGAGTTAAATTCTGCATAAGAGCTTAGGTTAAGATGACGGTAGCGACTTTAGGTTAGTAGAAATCTAAGATCGTTACAAATATGTTATGCGGTTAGAATTCCTATATATGCCCTGATTGACTTATGAACTAGATGTCATGTGTCCTAAAGGACATGTATGACTTGTTTGTGATCCTGAGCCCATATTTTAATCTTCGTTGGTCCTTGAGCTAACATTTACAATCCATTATGACGACATGGGTCAACTAGGCCGATGTAGAGACGGTTAGGACATAACCTCTTATCGTGAACCCACCTCAACTAGTGAAGGTATACTAAGCATATAGGAATGCAACGTCACCCACTTAGGACTAGTGACATGCTAGAGGACACTACTTAAGGGACCTTGGGTGTACCTAGTGGAGAGTCAAGCTTGCATTATTCTAGTCTCTAATGGCATAAAATAGGGAGCATTGTTATGTGTCATTAAGGGAACTTCCGACTAGCAATTAGTCCCAGGTACGTAAGCAATTATAAGTAGATTGAGAAGTCATCTATTGTAAGCGATGACTCCTCCATACCTGTTTGACTTCCCTAGAGCTTGAGATATACGAGGACACCCCAACTTATGCGCACGAAGCGCAATGACTGTGGGACCCTAGAAAGTAGGGAACCGAGAGGTTAAGTGCACCCTAAAATCCAAATACACCCTGATGAGTAACGTACACCCTTGGAATAGGAGTAAGTAGAGCATATGAACCTTATGAGACTGAGAAGACTATAAATGAACCCGAGCCATGGAATTGGCCAACTCTACGATCCTAACTAAGCACATAGTGTAAAAAGCATTGAATAAAAGAAGATTCGTTCAAAACCTACAAATCGGTGCTTACTAAGTATTTTTATACTCATTCCTGTTATTGTTCGTTTGCAGATAGAGTGTAGACCATTGTCGATAGTGAGCCGTGCAGATGCAAGGACCCATAGATCAAGTCATGTCCCTCTATGTCAATTTTAATATTATTTAAATATCGGTTTTCGTAGAAACTTCGTAATTATTGTGAACTAACGTAAATTTGTATTTCAAATGCATTTTTTTTTGTCAAATTTATTGTTTATAATTGACTTTAAATTCCTAAGGTTCCCATTTTACGAAAATGAAAAATTTTATCACTTTTTTTAGCCGAGTCCATAGGCAACCCATGATTCGAAGCCTCAAAAAGCAAGTCGTTCTCCAAGCTGCTACATTGATTGAGGTTCATTTTGCAAGCCCTTCACGAACACCTCGAGACTTATCGGCACGCAATACCATTCGACGTGTTGCTCTAGCTTCTGGATACACGTCTAAGAAGTAGAGTCAATTCCAAAAAGTTCTGTTTCAGTGACTTTCATTCCATAACTTCACCAACCACAAAGAGGCATACTCTGGTGAAGCACCTGACTGCAAAAGCCAAAGAATGCCTCAATATGGGAGGACCTGCCATGCCTGTACCTTCAATCTGTAACAGTTATGCTTAGAATGATCTAAATATAGAGATGCAATACTATAAAAGCAATGAACCTAATACCATTTTATCAGCTCTGGTGGGCTGAAAGCACCCGAAGAATGCATTTGAAGAATGTAACGACACAGGTCCACCGCTAACATATATTATCCTCTTTGGGCTTTCCCTTTCGGGCTTTCCCTCGAGGCTTTAAAACGCGTCTGCTAGAGGAACGTTTCCACACCCTTATAAATGGTGTTTTTGTTCTCCTCCCTAACCAATGTCGGACATCACAATCCACACCCCCCCCCTTTAGGACCCAACGTCCTCGCCGGTACTCATTCCTTTCTCCAATCGATGTGGGACTGCCACCAAATCCACATCCTTTGGGGCTAGGGTCCTTACTGACACATCGCCTCATGTCTACCCCTTCGTGGAACAGTCAGAAAGCTGGCACATCGTCCGATGTCTGGCTCTGATACCATTACAACTCAGATCCACTTGTCCTCTTTGGGCTTTCCCTTTTGGGCTTCCCCTCACGGCTTTAAAACACGTCTGCTAGAGGAAGGTTTCCACACCTATAAGGGTGTTTTTGTTCTCCTCCCCAACGACATCACAAATAACATTCAGAATCCCAGATTTGTTCCATTACCTCAAGGAATAACACTTCCTAATTGCTTAAATTAAGTAGTTCATGGAGAAATTCAAACCATAGTTTTCCTATTTCTGAGTTCAATCAATGTGCAATATCATCTTTGAATGTTCTTATCAAATTCACAACACACTGCAGAGAGAATAGTTCATCAATAGTTCATCACTGGCAAGCACTAAATAAAGCGATATCATAGGCAAAGGGATGAGGAATCCGTTCCCCTTCAATGATCAAACAGTTTTCCATGACAATAAGAATTGAAATTCTTGAATCAAATTATGAACCCAGATAAGATCATATATTCAACATCATGAGAGCTTGAACAAATAAGAAATAATGGATCAAACTTCAGAGAATTTCATTAATTACATCCAAATTGTGAGATGTAATCATAGAAATATTGGATGATTCCCATACCACAGGTTTAAATTCATGGAGATTATTGATTATCAGAGAACTCGACGAATTGCATCACTCAATGAAGCAAATAAAGAAGCACGAGTGAACCTCGTATAGAACTTATCAAGTGAATTGGTTAATTTCAACCCCAGCATTCTCAAACTATGGCTTCTTCCTAACACGATGTATATCGATCAAAATTGCAAACTAACATTCCTCAAATCGGCACGTACCGCTTCAACATCTGCTTACCCGTCACCGCCACTCCAACCACAACGCCGCCAATAGCACCGGCCACCGCCGCTGATCTCACTCCTCTTGCCGCACGATAAAGCGCACCGGTGCCAAGTCCCGCTGCGACACAGTTCCATACGTCGTCCGTATCCCTCACAGCCTCAATCCCGCTCTCCAAACCAGCATATAGTAACCCAATCACACCGAGCCGATTCCCCCAGAGACGCCCTGAATGACCAGAAGAGTTCAGGATCCGATTGATCCGAAGTTTCATAGTATCACCTGATTCGAAAGATTTGACGCCGGAGACGAAGCCCGTAGACGCCCCGCCGACTGCACCAGCGAGGTAACCGCAACCGGTGTAGAAGGTGAGATTCTCGCCCCAAGATCGACGCTGGCGGCGAGCTTCTTCATCGAAGAGAAACTCCGGTGAGGTTGGAAGCTGGAAGTTTCGGTAAGGAACCTGGAGATCCTTGTAAGGGTTGTAAAGACGTGGTTGGGGTGAGCCCTGATCAAAGCCTGAATCAATTTCGCGATCGGAAGAACGGTCCGCCATTATTGAGATTTTGAGCTCTAAGCTTAGGGCTACACTCGATTGTGAATTCTCTCCCAAAGACAGGAAAAAGAGGGAAGATTGTTCTTAAGAACAGCGATTCTCGGTTCAGAGGGAGCCAGATAAACCGGTTTTGTGGTCGTTTTCTTTCTCTCTAAAGTCTCTCCGGTTCAACTCAGGCGAACCCAACCCCGTAATTATTATTGAATTTTGTCTCTAATTTAATAATATAATAATTAACCTATATTTCTTTCTTTTACGTTAGAGATTCAAATTATTCTTAAACTACCAAACTTGAAAGTTTCCAAATATATTTGATTAAATGTCAATAATTAATTTCTATTATAAGAATTAATTAAATTTCCAATTGCAAAACTTTTAATTATGTTAATGATTGCGTTTAACTTTGTTTTAACTAATTTAATCACTCATCACGTTCTATTAATTTAATCACTCATCACGTTCTATTTAACAACCCAATGTCACCACTAATAGATATTGTCTGCTTTAACCTGTTTCACACCCAAGAATGTTTCGTTCCCCTCTCCCATTGATATGCAATCTCACAATCCACCCCCCTACAAGGGCCAACGTCCTCACTGGCACACCGTCTAGTGTTTGGCTCTGATACCGTAACAACCCGATCCCACCACCAACAAATATTGTCCACTTTAACCCGTTACGTATCGCCGTCAGTCTCACAATTATAAAACACGTTTGTTAAGGAGAGGTTTGTACAACCCTCAAAGGAATACCTTATTGGAGATGTAGGATCTCATCTATAAGCTTTTAATAGACAATTTAAGGTGTCTTAACAAACTAAACTATACTTAGATTTGCACTTTCTTTTCACTATTGTCTTTTCTTTCACTAAATCATCTTTTCAATCTTTACCTCAATGAAAAAAATGATTGTATTATCATAATAAAGTTTTAAAGTCAAAAAGCCAAACCAAGCACGAGACTCTAAAATAGTAATTTAACTTCAAAACAAATTTCCTCTCTCTAACATACAAGTTTTCAAGTCACATCGAACAAATCCAAACCATCCAAACCATTCAACATAAAAAAAAAAAGAAAAAAAAGCCTGGGGAATGTTCAAATATTTATAAATGATTCAGTATAACCCAAGAGTGATGGGAAGAATGTATTACAAGAAGTGGGTTCTTGAGAAGAAAATTGGTGGGGAAACAAGTCATTTTGCAGGCAGGCAGGCATGCTTAAATAATCCAGTTCTAATCAGACAGAAGAAATACACAATGAAAGCAATCAAGGTAGACAAAATGAATTTCTCTTACGCAAATGAGTGTGGGTTTTTCAACCCAGAAGTAGTAGGAGAAACACAACTTACACATGACCAACAGCGTTCACTGATGTGCCGCCGCTTCCTCAGTTCTACAATTGGGTTTCCACTCAGTGGTATGGTTGAGACTTCTGCACCGCTGTTGTTCTTCGAGCTCCAATTTTCCATTTCCTGCTGAGAAATGGTATTCGAACCAATACCATCCTTCTGGCTCCAAAAACTCGTACTGAATGTCACTCGCTGCCATCTTTCTCCTACATTGATCTACGTTGAATTTCCATTGGCAGGTTAGGATTGTTTCTCATTCCTACCTGATTATACATAATAGCAAGAAGATATAAATGCAAAGTTTAAAGCCTGCTACATAACAATAAAAGATGGCAACCAACCTCATTTTCTGATCCCTTGAAATGTGGAGCTGAGTTAGAAGTGCGTTGACCATGTGCTCTCCCAAAAGCTGTGAGCTTCCTCTTTGGTGGTATTCCGCTCAATCCCAATTTTTTTAGCCTGATCAGTTCAGGTAATAGAACGGTACCGAGGTCGGGTCTATCTCTTTTCCTTAGCTCACAGCACTTCAGGGCTAATTGAGCGAGTCCAAGAGTATCTTGAATGGGCCAATCTGTAATTGTGGGATCAAGTATCTGTGGGAATGTGCCGTGTTCAATGGCCTCCTCAACCTGATATGAAAGACCCATTGGTGACCTTGCAGTGATGAGCTGGAGTAGCAGAACACCAAATGAGTAAATATCTGATTTCACACCTAGCATTCCTGTTTGTTGGTATTCTGGATCGATGTAACAGAAGGTTCCAGCTGCAGCCGTCATGTGATATTGAGTGACACTATCAGCAACCGACGGCGGGACTAGCCTGGCCAAACCCACATCGCCTATTTTGCTCACATAGTTCTGATCTAGGAGAATGTTTGCTGGTTTGAGATCACGATGCACCACAGGTTCTGGCTTCATTTGATGAAGGAAGAGAAGTGCAGTGGCAATGTCAGCAGCTATCCTGAAACGAGTTTTCCAAGGGATTGGAGGAGTGTCGTCTTTTCGGAAAAGACGGTCTTCTAAGCTCCCGTTTTCCATATATTCATAAACAAGGCAACCATATTCTGGGCAGGCACCCATAAGGAGAACCATGTGTGGATGCCTCATGCGGCTTAAAACCTCAATCTGCAAATCATGAACAGTGCAATCTTCAGGAACTTTTTAAATGCATGATTATCATTCATTACAAATATGTTTTTTATTCAGTCTGATGTTGTTACAGAAAACACACTTATGGCTGATAATTTCGTGCAGTTATTTCCAGCCAAGATAAAGAAGAAAGAAAAAAAATTACCTCTTGCTGGAATTGTCTCTGCCCATGAGATCTCTCTGGGCTCAACATCTTAATGGCAACAGAAGTATGATCGAGAAAGGCATGGTAAACAGGTCCATAACCCCCTTCACCAATCTTGTTTGACTCATTAAAATGATCTGTTGCTGCTTCGATCTCGTCAATTCTGTATCGTTTGAAGCAGATATTAGTGCGTTCAAATAAATTAATTGTTTTCTGCTTCTCCTCCGCCTCAATCCTAGCCTTGTTTTCAGCAATATTTCGCTTTTTCTGGATCTCTAATTCTTCCAGCCTTTGAGCCATTAGAGCTGCTTCTGTCCCAGCCTTGTTTTTCTGCTTCTCAAGCTCTGACAATGCTGTTAAAACCTCTTCTGCAGATTTACCTCGCTCGAACTTTTTCGCTTCTTTTATCTTCAATTGTGCGAGTTCATTTGCCTGGCATCAAACACATTACTTCTTTCAGGATCAACTGGGCTTGAACAATGTTTATTTAGCACTTTTGAGATCAAGTATATCATCTGATATACAAAATGAGGTATCAGTTCTAACCTTTTGTCTTGCTACTAGAGCTTCCTTGCAAGCTGATTCATACATTTCCATCTTCCCTTTGAGTTCAAACCTTAACTTTCTCATCTCAGATTCTATGGAAGCCTGTAAATCCAGATAAGCTAAACTATTGAGTCAATTATCCATGCCTATAACTATATAACTTAAAAGGAATAAATTTCTACTGCCCAAATGTAAACTCAAACACAACTGATGTTGGAAATTCAACCATTAACTGACCAAAATTGGGTAGCTCCTTAGCTGAACAAGAAATTGTTTAATTCCTTACTTACTGCTGTGTTAGAGGTAACAAAGCTCTTTGAATTACTCTCTGAGGAGGTTGACGAAAAATCTAAGCTCTCAGAGGATGATGTGCCAGTTGATCTGAAACTGAGAGGCCCTGAAAAGTCACTAACGCTTGACAGTGAATCAACACTGTTGCTATAACGATGCCTACAATCGAAACAAACTGTTGTTAGTCATTCGTTACAAGCAGCACCTCTAAAGGCAGTTCTAGAATATTAACCAAAGCTACTGATCGAGAAAAAAAGGAAAAAGAAAATTCATTAAAAAAACGTGTATGCTTATCCTATGAGTCTACACAAACAAACACTACCGAATGAAACACAAACAAACACTACCGAATGAACAATGTAAAAGGAAAATTGGGCTTTTGTATTGGTACACCGGTAAAAGAAAAAAAAGACAGAAATCAAACTTTTCAGAAATTTTTATCATCTCTTTGACTCCTATTAGATTTCAAGTACACAATTCCAGAAGGCCAGCATCCTAATCAAGTAATGATAAGAAGTCCATCCATACAGAAAATTAGTGAAGAAGCACTTGGATAAGACTTCGGAAGTTTCAGTATAGTATGTTGGGAATCACAACTTTCCACAATGGTATGGTATTATCCAATTTGAGCATAAGCTCTCATGGCTTTGCTTTGAGGTTCCCCAAAATGCCTCATACCAATGGAGATGTATTCCTTACTTATAAACCCATGATCATTCACTAAATTAGCGAATGTGGGACTCTCTCCCAACAATCCTCAACATCCCCTCGAACAAAGTACACTATAAGCCTCTCCTAAGGCCTATGGAGCCATCAAACAGCCTTCCCTAAATCGAGGCTCGACTCCTTATTTGGAGTCCTCGAACAAAGTACACCCTTTGTTCGACACTTGAGTCACTTTTGACTACACCTTCGAGGCTCACAAGTTCTTTGTTTGACATTTGAGGATTTTATTGACATGGCTAAGTAAAGGGCATGGCTCTGATACCATTTTAGGAATCACGACTCTCCACAATAGTATGATATTATCCACTTTGAGCATAAACTCTCATGACTTTGCTTTAGGATTCCCCAAAAGGCCTCATACAAATGGAGATGTATTCCTTACTTATAAACCCATGATCATTTCCTAAATTAGCCAATGTGGGACTCCCTCCCAACAATCCTCAACATAGTATTCAGTATTGTTAATCATTCAAATTTCACAACGGAGATTCCTTGCGCAAGGATGTTCGTTTCTACGTGTATCATATATAATATACATCAAAGTCTTGCGATAAGAAATCCAATATCCTCTCAAATAGGCTTGTGAAAGAGTCAAATGAAGGAGAAACATAACGAATTGTGAATTGCTAATGAAAAGATAAATAAGTTTACCCAATAAATTTGTCTCGCATGTGAGAAAGATGAATGTTGTGGAATATTGTATCTACCCAAAAGTATATCTATTGAATTCTACCTGCTTTTATCTTTCGTGTTTTGTATTTTTGATAGAGACTTGTCAGTATGAAGAGTTCCGGATGGTTTTTCTTTCCCATCAGTTAGTGACTTGTATCGCTTTCTCAATCTCTTAGTATGAACTTTCCCTCTAGCTATGACATATACAGAACATGATTCTGGAGTTGATTTGAGCAAACATGTTGAGACATCTGGATGTTTGAACGTCCTGCATGGATCCAAATGGTTCTAGCTTAATCTAATTTCTTACACACTATCAAAATCCTCCCTATCACAGAGTCGAAGAGAAATACAGACCTCGTAAAAGCATTCCGGCTGGAAGCACCCACAACAATGTTGCTAATGGAGTGTTTATTGATATAGTGAATAAGCGCACTTGGAACATCAATGTCATGGATGACAATCTCCTTTGCAACTATCTGAAAACACATACTACGATGATTATGAGAGTAGTCGTTAATATTTTGTTCTAATTCGACAATGATTCATTGTCCCATCAAAACAAGCCATCATCCTCAGAGGAAACCTAATTCGAAAACTGAAAACTATCTGAGATTGTAACACTATTACTACGAGGGATTGCTTGTTTATAACAAGGAATTCGGCAAATTGCTTACTCCTTTTCGTGCGCAGAATCCTCGGTATGGAAGGAAGAACTGATGCAATTCAGCATCAGTCGGTGGACGATACTCCTTAGGAACCGTATCCGCATCCTCTGCATACAAAGGCCAAATCACAAGAAATCATTGATTCATCTCCAAACGTTATGGTGCATTTCAGTACATTTCGTTTTTTGGAAATGGCAATTTAACCATGGATACGAAAATCAGAATGACGACGGCTAAACAACGTCAACAACAAGGGAGACGGATACCTACGGGGATGCAAGCTCTGACTCCGAACATGGATGAGGATGCAATCGCCGGAGTTCTTCCTATTGAACAGGTGTTCCACAGCCCATTTCACCGCGGATTGACTGTTCTTATCCCTGTTAATGGCGATCACCGTGTGGGTGGCGGTAACGGATTCGTTAGTTTCATCTTCAGCCATGGGAGCTGCCACAGCCCGAAACGCCACCACCACGGTTCACGCCGCCGGACAGAATAGACAAAACACGGTGACGCGTAATGAAAACAGAGCAAGGGTGGACAATGGAATCAGGAGTCGGTTTGATTGCCATTGCTTTACTAAATTTGGGGAGTAGAAACAAGAAGACGAACACCATCATCTTCGCCAAAAATCTCAAATCCAATCAGTGGTTGCTAAAATTAGGGGTGGTGAAGAAGATGATAGTTTAAAAAATTGAAACCAAATCGATCTATATGTTCGCTCCATTTGGAATCCCAATCACAAACAAAGATCGATGAACGTTCAAACCAGCTGAGCGCTGATATGAGGATGATAAATATACAGTTACCTAGCTTTAGTCCCCCGACCCCTCCGCCATTTTCACACTCATTTATTTTTCAATTCAAATATTTTGTATTTCATTTTTTTTAAATTAAAATTTATATTCACCAAATTTGAGAAATTATTTTCTAAAATTGATTGAAAAATAATTTGTTATGTATAATTTTGTTATCATTTGTGTTAAATTAATTAGGATTTCAATACAAACTAATCTTCTGTATAGAGTTATTTGTCAACCTCGAAGTATAATCAATGTCGGTCTCTAGTTCTTAGACAAAAAGTATACTGTGAGATCTTGGTTGGAGAGGAGAAACTCAAGGTGTGAAAACATCCTCCTAATAGATGCGCTTTAAAATCGTGAAGCTGATGGTGATACGTAACAATACAAAGCGAGCAATATCAGTAGCGATGGGCTCGAGTTGTTACAAATGCTATCAGAGTCCGTTACCAACCGGTATGCCAGTGAGGACATACATTGGGTCTCCAAGGGAGTGGATTGTGAGATCTCATATTGATCAGAGAGGGGAAACCTAAGGTGTCAAAACCTCTCCAACACCAGCAAGGATACTAGGTCTCCAAATAGGTGATTGTGAGATCTCATATTGGTTGGAGAGGGAAAACCTCAACCTAATAGACACGTTTTAAAATCGTAAAGCTAATGGCTATATGTAACGAACTAAAATGAACCATATATTTTCAGTGGGCTTGGACTATTACATGTACTAGAGTATATTTTATATGGGATTTCCCCTTCGACTACCAAGATTCTTGCTCGGCTTTCTTCGGCAAAGGCTTCTTCTCTATCCTATTATGTCGTAAATTGTCGTAAGGAGAAACAAAAATAAATTCGTTAAACTCAATCGAACACCGACTCATAGAATAAGGACTAAAACACAAACTCTCGACCAAGAAATTGAATGATTCAAATCTCTAAAAAAAAACAAGACATAATCATAATCTCGATCGAAAGTCAAAAACTAAATCCCGGTAGGAAGAAGAAACGAAACCTCATCATTTGACTCTGTCTCATTAAGCTTCACCATCCAAAGTTCCAACTTCCAAATAAGAAAACGCCATTCTATGCCACAGAGCTGTTTCATGGAAAGAAGTTGCCATTTACAATGTGAAAAAAAGAACACATGAAATTTATCAATATGAACATTTACCCGTTTTACTCAACAAAACTGCTCGACCTTTTCCTATACAGAATTCAACTTCTTTAACTTACAACAACAGTGTAACTACTACAATCTAACCATCTTGCTTATCGTCGTCTCTTTCGCCTCAACTCGGGAAATTGAAGCGGGACAGGAAGCGTAACCAATGACAAGTTGTTCTTGCGTATAAACTTGCAACCCAGATTGTCATAATGGACTCTTAGAGTGAAAGGACTAGTTCTCAGATCCCTAGCTATGTCTGATGGATCACTGCTGAATTCATCGGGAAATAACGCGAGCACCAAAACGTGGCTAATGAGAAGATCGGTTTTCTCTGCTGAAAGTCTTCTCGACTCCGTAGTTGAAAACATGGATGAGAACTTTTGTCGTAGCATGCTAGGAATTTTATGGCCCTTAACAGAAGAAACGCCATCCATAGAATGCTGATCCTTGTACTTTATTAGATGAGTGATGTATGAATATATGCAGCAGAGCTTCTTTTTCTCTTCCTCATCCTAAAGATGATTTTAACGTCAAAAAGGATTCAATACAAATGAACAGAATTTTAAGGATAAGACTTATTTAGAAACAGGCAGTACAGCTGCAGAACGAATCTACAATTTAGAACAAACATTCAAAATAAATAATTAAAGCATACTTTTCCACCAAACAATAAAGACCATGTATCGAACTCTATAAACAAACATAAAGGCCAAGTTAGTTTTGTTGAGGATTGTTGGGAGAGGAGTCCCACACCGGCTAATTAAGGGGTTGATAATGGGTTTATGAGTAAGGAATACATCTCCATTGGTACGAAGTCTTTTGGAGAAACTAAAAGCAAAGTCATGAGAGCTTATTGTAACGGCCTAGGTCCACCGCTAGCAGATATTGTCCTCTTTGGGTTTTCCCTTTCGGGCTTCTCCTCAAGGCTTTAAAACGTATCTGCGAGAGAGGGTGTTTTGTTCTCCTCCCCAATGGGACATCACACTTATGCTCAAAATGGACAATATCATACCATTTTGGAGGGTCGTGATTCCTAACAAATTTCAGAAAGCACTCAATCGTTTCGATTTGAAAACATCAGTGAAAAACAAAGACGAAGTAGTTTAATCTGAGAATTGACATGATTCATCATACTCAATAAATAATACTGAACAACTACAAAATTCATGAAGATGCATCAAATTTTGTCTCAGTATTCATAAAGGAAAATTAGAACCTTCTTAACATAATACCTGAATGTCTTGCAATTTATAAATTCTGTTGCGGACAAAGGATGGATAATTGGCACTTATTTCAGATTCTGCTTGCAAAAGGAAATAAAGATCTTCCAGGAAACCCCATTCTCCCTTGAGGATAATCTTGTCGAGGGGGTAAGCTTCTTGTGGAGTCGTTGCAGAAGCATTATATGTCGGTATATTACGAGAAATTTGTGCATTCGAACTTTCCAACGCCTCTTTGTTTACCACGACATTTTTCATTTTCCCATCTAGATCCTTCTTGGTCTCAGGATCATCCTCTTGCTTCAAAGAAAGCAGCTTCTTTGCCTGCCACACATTAACAATATTAAACAATTTGTTGCTACTTCTTGTAATTGTAATTTCGAAGTTATTCCATCCAAAACCAAAATTAAAGGCAACAAAAAAGGTGAACAGAAAAGATATGATGCTTTTTCGTGATAACATGCCTCCCATAATTCTGCTCCCCTGCTTATAAGGTTAAGTTCAATATTTGTTTAATAAATAAGTCGCTGAAAGATGGCTGCTGAAGAACTAAAAGAACGCAATTCCAGGATTCTATTACTACCTGTTTTATCGACTTCTTCGTTCCATAGAGATTGCTGAGCTCTCTCATTCTATCAGCTTTCTCCTGCACAGAGAGCTCGTCATTCGCCACACTTGGGGATTCATTTTCAGGAACATCTGAACCTCTAACTTTAGGATCCAATCTAAATATCTGCAAGGATAAACATCAGGCTTAGTAACATAATTGAGACTATTGCAGCATGAAGATGAACATATTGTAAAGTAGCCAAATTGCATTTCAAACGGATAAATAGAGGAAAATAAGAGGCATTTGTAACTTCAGGCTTCAGCGTGTACACTAAAACAACCAAGCATAAATTAGGACTCAATTTTTACGATTCTTTTTCTCTACGTTCATTATTGAGAATAACTTACCATATTTGATGCAATAGGTACAATCTTTAAGCTTTGGGTTGCCTTATCGAGAACACCGAGAGCATAGCTGCAATGTTGTTTTCCAGCAGTAGCCTCACCCAAGTAATTGGTACCAACAAAATCCACATTCGACCCTGTTGGACTTACAACCAGCTGCATCCTATTTGGTTTTTTCTTGTGCCTATAAACCTTAGCCCTTACAGAATTTTGTTCCTCGACCACTTCCTCATTGGGATCCTTGTTAGGATCATATCCAGAGGGGAAATAACCAACTAATGGTGGAATTTTCTCAGGATGGTTGCTGAGGACTTGGATTTTTGTATTCACAGGTGGAACTCGTTTCTTCTTCTTTTCACTCTTCTTCTTTTTCTTCGCTGGAGACTGAGAATTCGCTTCTGGTTCTGCGTAATGGGTTTCTTCAAAATATTTAGAATCTCCCGCCATTAATTCTGTTAACAAGCTCAGAGTGTGTATAATTCAAATAAACAAGAAAATAACCCTCAGATTTTTAAATGCACACACAATTGTCAACTCCAAGAGCTTCAGCTCGCTGAAGAGAACTTAACGCGTCAATTTCCCGGGAACAAGTAGCTTCCGGAATTACTTCTATTTCATTTCAGCATCATATTGGTGGAATTCAAAATGGGATCCTTCTGGAGCGCAAAATATAAGCAAAAGATTCCTAAAGAAAGGGAAAATCAAGATGAACAGGCAAACAAATTAAAATATATCAAACCATACGACCAACAAGAATGCGATCATTTAATCAGCTCAATTCATTCAATGGTCACAACTCATGAGAGAACAATGGATAAACAGAAAAACATGATAAATTGACCAAAGCTATCCTGCAAAAGGTGATCCGAATCAGAAAAGCCAAACTTGGAAGCCATATAAAGAGAAGAACAGGCATCAATGTTGTTTCAAATTAGGAAAAGGTTTCACGGGCTATCTGATACTTTTCATAAAAAGAAACAACAAAATCTCTAGAACCAGACACCGCTTTAACCTTTTTCCAAAACAGAAGCTACAAAAATTACACAGAAAAAATCATAAACGAAGCACGAACAACAATTCCCCTAATAATTACACTCACAGTTCCACAGGAAATAACAAACCAACACTAGATGATTAATTCAATAGATTCAGACTTAATAGGCAACAATAAATTCCTGTATTAACGCCGAAATTTAACATAGACAAACAAAAACAATAACAAAAAAAACCCGACACACAAGCAGAGATTAACGCCAAATTTTGACATGAAAAAGAAAAAGAAAAGAAAACGTATGATTGTTGGAGCCTACAGAGAAAGATAACAGGAAAAACATACCTAATTAGAAAGGAAAATAATCAAACCTGCCGATTTTGAGAGAGAAGACGAGCTAGGGCTTGGTCTTGCTCTCAATTATTTGGTATGAATGCCGTGACAAGTGAATTATGAAGAATAGAGGGATTAATTAGCCAATAGTAGGTAATATTATTATTGACATTAAACTTTTAATATTTTATATCCAATAATAAAAAATAAAAGCATTTTTAAATATTTTTAGAAGACAAACAAATATTGCACCTCACAACATTAAAATAAGAACATATTTTTAACATTTACAAAAAAAAAAAATTAATTAATTAATTTAAATTTATAATTTAGTTTATACAATTTTATAATTTGATAAAAAAAATTCTTCAATAGTTTTTATGGCTTAAAAAATAATTTAAAATAAATTTAAAATTTGATTTACTCGTCGCCATAACTTGTACAATGATTTAAGTCTTGAAAAAATGACGACTTCCGAAAATTTCGAGCCGTGGATTTGGGCAATGTTTTTAGCGCGTTTGACCATGACGGCTTGACCCGCTTAATTGTGCTTTAAAATCATAATATTTTTTTTTAAATAAATAAAAAATAACAGTATTATTAAAACTTTTAATATTAATAGATATTTTTTTAAATTAATTCAGCCGTAATAATAATAATAATAATTAAGATAACGACAGCCTCCGCCAATTCCGAAAACGAGAGCCGCGTCATTAAGCAATGTTTTTAGCGCGTCTGACCTCCACGGCTTGACCCATGGGCCATGCCCATGTGCTAATTATACTTTTAAATTTTAGGGAAATTACTATAATATATACTTTTAATTTGACTCGAATTAAAATTACAATTTAATTTTCGAATCTGGAATCATAGGTTAAAAGTATTTTGTAATTTAACCTAAAGTATAAATTTATCTAATTAATACAATTTGGCTGTTGTTGGAGAATTATTATTATTTTAAAAATCAAGCATTATTAATGAATTATGACCTAATTTGTTGATGCTTTTTTTAGAATAATATGATTAATTATGGTGAAATATAAATAAATACGTGTTGAAATAGTTGTTATCCAATGAGAATACGTTTAGATGTAAGAATATCTTGAAAGGTAAGATTAGGGAAGTTGTTTGGCTTACTCTTAAACTAAACATTATTGTAAATTACGTTAAGGAATGATTCCTTTGTGTTTTTGTTATCATACAAACGTTTGTTAATTATAACATGACTTATAAAATACTGATTATTGAACTAATAAAATACTTAATCGAGAATTTTGAAAATCACGGTGTAACGTGAAATTGTAATAGTCTAAGCTCATCGCTAGCTTTTGCACATTATGTATTGTCGTTAGTCTCACGGTTTTAAAATGTGAAATTTTCTTCTCTAACTGATGTGGGATCTCACAATCTACCTCCTTAGGGGGAAGCGTCATTGGTATACCACACTGTGTCTGGTTCTGGTACCATTTGTAACAGTCTAACCCACTGCTAGCAAATGTTGTTTGTTTTGGTTCGTTACGTATCGTTGTTAGCCTTATGATTTTAAAACGTGAAAATCTCTTCTTCAACCAATGTGGGATCTCACAATTCACCCCCTTTGGGTGCTAGTGTCTTCGACATACCGACCCATGTCTAGTTAATCCCCTTTGGGGGTCAACGTCCTCAACGCACTACCTCGTGTTTGGTTCTGATACCATTTATAACAGCTTTAGCCCACTGTTTGTAGATATTGTCCGCTTTGGCCCGTTACGTATTACCGTCCGTCTCACAATTTTTAAAATGAATCTGTTAAAAGGGTTTCCACACCCTCGTAAGTAATGTTTCATTTCCCTCTCCAACCAATGTGAAATCTCACTGTTTGAAAAGAAGGATGAACGAGATATAGCTTAATTAAGTTTTTTGGATCGTTTATTAGCTTAAAACGTACAAGGAACAATCTTTAGAATAAAATATCAAACCCAAGCTCGGTATCCAACCGAACTTTTTAAAAGTACCCACTCTTTAGCAACATCGAAATTAGATTTTGAATAATTGTTTAAAAATGAAGACACGTAGTATGCTACCATTTCTATTAGTTGATATCTAATGTTATGTTGGCGATATACCACATTCAGAATAAGAGATACAACTATCTCAAGGTAGCACGACCCCGTCAACGGTTCGATTCATGCTCGAAAAGAATTCATTGGTCCGCTCCTGCTGACGAACATTCTTAGCCGTCCTCGAGAGTTAACACATCATAGATCGAATCGAACGGCTAATAAATGATTGATTTTGGTTAGGGTAGGGGTTTTAGATAATGGAAAGTGGGTCACATGACATCTTGCATTTACAACTCGCTTTTGGTTATAAATACTCGCACGCAAGCAAGAAATGAAACGCAAAAGCGATTTCATAATACGGCACGACGATAAAAGCAAGCTCAAGCTAAAGCCCAAAGCTAAGAAAGAGAAAAAGGCCATCATCATCCTTTCTGTAAAGGGGAAAAAGGCGAACGAATCCGAGTTCACCGGTGAAAATGGAGGGAGACGGCAACGCGTCGCCGCCGTTCTGGCTTCAATCCTCTAGCTCTTTTCAGCAAGTTCACTACAATCGCCGTCGTCGCCTCAGCCGCGCATCGTCGTTCCTCCTCAACTCCAGCGCTTTTCTCATTGTTTTGTTAGTAATAGTTCTCTGTTTCGTCTTGATTGTGATTCCTAAATGTGTACAGTTCGCTTCTCAATTGATTCGGCCTCAATCGGTCAAGAAGAGCTGGGATTCGCTCAATTTGGTTCTTGTTCTGTTTGCCATTGTTTGTGGATTTCTGAGTAGAAACACGGGTGATGATAATAGAGGATTTGAAGATCGGAGCGTTTCTTCCAGGCGGAGACTGAAGTCAAACCCTACGACTCCGCGCCAATGGGATGGATATTCCGATCATCGGCCGAATCAATACACCGTGAATCGGATGAGGAGTAGTAGTTCGTATCCGGATCTACGTCTGCAGGAGTCTTCATTAGATGCCGGTGATGAACGGTGGCGATTTTACGACGATACTCATGTGCGTAATCATCGGTTTGCGTCTTCCGATCAGCTTCATCGCCGTCATCAAGCTCGGCCGGAGCTTGAACGCGAAGATTCTAGTGCCAAAAGTACAGGTTTCGACAGATCTGAGGTTCGCGAAGATGTATATTCACAACCGGCGATACCTTCGCCGCCGCGGGTGCCTCCCCCGCGATCTCCATCACCACCACCTACGCTTCAGACTCCCGCTAGCACGACTCCTAAAGTGGTTAAACGAAGGCCAAAGAGAACGCATAACGTCCATAGCCATACGCCCGATGGAGCAATCGATCAACAGCAGAAGAATGACGATTCGGACGTCGCCGATTTTCAACGGATTCACCTTCCACCACTCTCCCCGCCGTCGTTCTATCAGGAATCGGAGCAGAAGAGCGGCAAAAACGAGAAGAAGAGAGGTGGCGCTCCAAAAGAAATTTGGTCCACTCTGAGGAGGAGGAAGAAAAAGCAAAGACAGAAGAGCGTCGAAAGCTTTGAGGCTATCGCCACTCTACGCGCTTCAACATCATCATCATTACCACTACCGTCACCCCCGCCGCCTCCGCCGCTCCCACCACCAGTTCTACAAAATCTATTTCCTTCCAAGAAAGGAAAAGCCAAAAAAGTACAGTCCGAACCTCCACCAACAATCGTCACCTCAGAACCTAAACCAGAGATCGAACATCAAAATCACCTCCTCAAACCCAACGATCCTCCAATGGAGCTTGAGAGACTGAGCAGCTTAAACGATGAAGAATACAATACGCGCATTGGCTGTGATTCACCATTCCATCTCATTCCTCCGCCACCACCGCCACCGCCACCGCCGCTGTTCAGAATGCACGGAGACTTCGACAGTGCAGGAAGCAACAGCTGTACACCGAGAGCCATCTCGCCGGAAATTTACGAGAGTGAAGGCGATGGTCCACCGGCAGCCGGTAAAATGAAGGTCAAGCAAGTTTCAACAACTCCGATATTCTGTTCAAGCCCGGATGTTAACAGTAAAGCCGATAATTTCATTGCAAGGTTCAAAGCCGATTTGAAGTTGCAGAAGATGAATTCCATCAAGGAGAGATCGGCGAGGAAGCGATCTAACCTAGGCCGAGCAGCAGGCCCAGGCCCAAAGTAAATCAAGATAAGGCCCAGCCCATATTATTTCTTTTCAATAATTAAAAAAAAAATCAATTCTTTTGTTTGTTGTTTTAGAATATTATGACATGATGGTAGGACACGTAGAAACATAGATTTATATATATTTTGAGATATTCTGAATATGAATTTTTTATTTTATTTTAATATTTTCTCAAATAATTTGCCAGGTATGAATATTAAATAAATATCTGTATTAATTTATATGACATGGAATTAGAAAGAGACATTGTTTGAATTCCATCAATCATATTTTGAATTATTGATGTCCTTAGTGGATTCTTCTCTAAAAACAAACATTTTAATTGAATTTTAGGAATTTTTTTAATTATTTTATTTCATAGGTGTCATGTGACAACATGTTGTTATTAAAGGCGGAGAAAGAAAGGGATCACGATCACAGTTCCCACCTAACTCGGTGTTTCACCTTTAGTTATTTAATAAATAGGTTATATCATTATATATTGGATCTGCAAATAATTGAATTAACATAGACTTATTGCCAACAAATTTACAGTATGTTTCTATTAACTATTTGGACATCAACTCGGAAAGAATCAATTCCAAGCTTATTGATAATTCATGATCAACTTCGTTTCGTAATATGATAATGAATACTATATTATTATCTCGAAACTCAGATTTGTTGGAAGTTGGAACATTAAATCGAGGTTGGAACTTGAAAATGTGGAATAAGGGTGGGTTATGGCATGTGGAAAAAGAAAGGCATGTAAAAGAGTGCATAGTCAAAATGTAGGTGCAGTTGGCCACCAACAAGCAACACAGTGACAAATCATTAGCCACCGCCAGAGAGCACCGGTGCATTATCCACTTTGAGCATAAATTCTAGTGATTGTGGTTTGGACTTTTTCAAAAAGTTTCATACCAATCGAGATAGTATTATTTGATTAT